TCCCCAGTAAGGAAAGCTATTTAACTTTGGTTAGCCCAAAAATCTCTAAACTTATGTAGCCCAAGTCATCTTCTCATGGTTACATCTTTTAATATCCTAGATTTAAAAAATATTTTGTATACATTTTGCCTTCTTAGTTCATATGACCACCAAGCCTCATGCTGTTTATTGGTGTGTTTGTGTTTATAAATGTACTCATTCAGTAAATAATTTTTCCTGGAATTGTTAAGAATGAGCTGAATAAAACTTAGCTGGCATATATAAAAGGCCTGAACTTGAGGCCCTGCCTCTAATATCAAATTTAGTCAAACAAAATATTCCAACCCTTAATTCTCTTCTTAATATTTTTATGCTTATTTTATATCAAAGGATCAAAGTTAAAAATTATTTCACTTGACCATTCAAACTAATTATCTGCTCATCTTGATACTTCCCAGCAAAGATGGATTTAAAAGCTTGCTTGTAATGCATTTTCATGCCTTTAGTCACTCCAGCTCAGGCACAGTTCCTTCTTCAGGCTGTGGGTCCATTGAGGAAGTGATCCCTAGCCAGTGCCTGGCTGACTGTTTTCTTTAAGCCTGGGGCAGGTGCTCTGCTCTTGCCTAGCAGGTACTATTGCTGTCTTATTTACTGTTACATCCTCAAATATTTGCCAAACGAATAAATGAATTGGACACTCATTTAGAAAAGAGTGAGCAGTAACATCACCCACCTCCCCAAGCTCATGGGGTTATTACTTAATAAAAACAAGTGCATCCTTGTTTTATTAATGTCATTGACAAGGGTATTAGTATCTCAACAGGACTTACTGAACTTTTGCTAAGTGCACTTTTGAACCCTTGTATACTCTTTTTTGGGAAGATTAAGCTTCAGTTTTCATACTGGGATTCCTTTTTAAAAGAATGTCAAGGGATCAAGAACCTGGAAATACTGGAAAAATAAAAGTGAAGAATGTCAGTAAGAGATGTGTCTCCAAAGCCATTAAAAGAACCTGAAAGTACTTCCTAATCTTAAGTGATTGTTAATATTTGTGTTTTTACAGATCATTTAAATAATGTTTTAGTGTGTTTTAACTTGTATTTGATGTTTCTTGGGTCTTAATTGGCCTGCCACTTCACCAGAATCTTACTTTCCTGTGAGAGCACAAGTGCCTCCCTTCAGCCAGATTTGTGGGGAGGGGCATGTTTCCCAGAAGGACCATGTCACACTTGTTCAGTTGTTGGTATCTTATCTTTACTATAAAGTAGTATTTTGATTTTAGACTTGTTTGTATCACTCAGTAAATAAATATTTGTCCATAGATGTCCTGTACTGTAAAATGTTAGTTCACACATGTTGGAAACATTGCACATTGCATTGGTCATTCATGTTACTTAACAATGTTAACAGGTTGAGGCTTCAAGAATATAATTAAGATACAACATTATTAAATAAAATAGCATTTTAGGCCAGAAAATGCTGATCATTGCTAGAGGAAAAGCACACTGGAGCTAGGTGAAAAGTTTCTTCTTACTATGTTTTCATTTCCTTCTGATGCATGCGCCTGAGCATTTTGGGTGACAGGGGGATTGCCCTCACTGCCCTCACCGCAGCTCTCCTTTGGTTAAATTTGCATCCTGTCTGTTCTGCTGTTTTTTATAAGATAACTTGTATGTGTGTTAGTCTTATTTACCTGTTATAAACAGTGGAGTTAGGGGGAAAAATGATTATCTTGTTTCTGGTAATTGTTTTGACACCACACACACCTTAGATCATTTTTGTAGTTTAAGTATCAACCATTCTGTTTTAGTTCCAAAAGTCTATGGCACAGCCCTTACATATTCTATAATAGTCCAACAAGCATATGAATTATGATAGAAAATGTGTCAAGCAAACTCCTATAGGGTATATTTAAAAATATCTTTGGTATCTAACATTCTCCACATTTGCTCTAGTAAATGAGAGGTTTTAGGAATATATGGTAATATCAGATGTTAATGGCATTGATTACCTGTCAGGCAGCGCAAATTGATGGGAGAATGTCCGCTATAAAATTAAATAGCATCAGAGAAGACTGTACCATGCATAGGGGTGGTGGGGGTAGGTGGGGGGTGGGGCATGGCTGGCCCTGGGAGACTTTGTCAGGGTATTACTGTGAACTCCAGTTTTTCTCCCCTATGCGATTAAGGCAGGCCATCTGTTCTTTGTTAAATGTTTACAAAAACAGCTTTTCTCTAAAAGATTTAAGGAGATGTCGGTCTGGTAAACACTATAATATTTCTGAGCACCTTTTTCACCCTATTTTATATAGTACCAACACATAATTTTGCTGCATATCAAAGAGGATGAATACCATTTTTTATATTTAATCTTTACTTTTTTCCTCCTTATGGAAGATTAAATTTTTAAAGGGATACTAATTTATGACTTCATTTATTATGGCAAGAAGCATCTAAAATCATTTGTATGCTAAAGTGTGTAGATAAATTTTCAGTATTTTTGTATGAGGTGTTATATGCATTTCCTGATTCATACATGTGTACCAGGTATCTCTCATTAGAATCTGGCACTTTATTACTGGAGTTTATTCCATGCAGATTAAAGAAAGCTACGTATATCTGGAATTAATTCACCATTCTGAGTTTTAAGCATTGTTTACTGGTAGACTTTTTTCTTTCCTTCTCTTTCCAGGAAATATTTTTTCTTTCCTCTCCTGAAAAAAGCTTGTCCCAAATAGGTTAGATCTCTACATCCCTTTCAAAAAGATACGGCTTTTTCTTTGCATTTACATTAGGAAATAATAGGTGACAATTAACTTCAGCAACTTAAATATAATAAGGCAGTTCAGTCAGATCCCAGGAATTCTGAGGTAATGATGATTTGGACAGCACCTTGGCTGATATTTATTAAGAGTGTTTCTGAAGGAAACATAGAGGGCAGAGGGTAGTGTTTTTCAGGGTTGGTTAGGAGTGGAAACCTTATGTAGATTTACACCTGTGTGTCTTCCTCAAAAGTTCTACCCCGGCCGGCTTCTCTCTCTCTCTCTCTCTCTCTCTCTATACACCCTTACTCTTTCCCAGGTGCATTCTCTTTCAGCTAGGACTGAGAAAGGGTAATAATATGTGTTTTAAAATTTTCTCTAATACAGTAGGATTTTGAAAGAGACTTTGGAAAGCATCTAACTCAAACACTTCAGTTTGCAGATGAAGGAAATGAACCTCAGATAAGTGAAATGATTTTCCCCAGATAATATAGCTCATGGCAGGGTCTGGACTGAGTGTTTTTACCTCACAGTTCTAGGCTCTTTCTCTTACACTAATGCACATGGAGAATTGGATGTTGGTTTCTTTAGTGACCAAGTAGGTTTTAGTGGGAACAGCATAACTGTTTTCTTTTCAGACAGCGATTATTTTTTAATGTTTTTTGGGTCATTCAGTACTTTGCAAATCAAATGAAACCTGTGGATCCTTTTCCAAAAGAATGCTCATGTGTAAGATGTCAGGAGATGTGTAGAATCAGAAGCACACTGGATTTTGGAAACCTTCACTCAGTTCTTAGCTCCTTTTCCTGTTGTGAGGTCTTGGGTGGTCAATAAGCTTCTCAGACTTTACTTCCCTTCTGAGAGACTGGGGCAGATTACCGTATTTTCACTGTGAGGTTCAGGTGAGCTAACTCCCAGAAGCACCTGGCTCAGTACATGACATGAATAGATATGCAGTGAAGGTTGGTTGATTGGCATCTGATGTATAGTACTTTGATGACGGTGATTTGTGGCTTCTGGGCTACTCTTGAGTCCTTTGCAGACCTGGACCTGGACTCTCTTGCCCTCTCCTCTTCAGGAGGTGGTGTGGTGAGGGACATGGACTCTGCTGCCATTGGCTTAGAGGCCATTCTTGGTTCTGTCACTTAGCATCTGTAACTTCTTGGGCATGTTATGGCATCTTAGAGTATCCGCGTTCATACCCAGCTCACAGGGCTGCTGTGAAGATTGAATAGTGTCAGGCGTGTAAAGTGCTTAGCACATTCCTAACATGTGGTGAGATTGTTCAGTAAACACTAACAGCCATTGTTGTTGCTGTTTCTAGTATAGTCGCTATTAATACTAATAAGTGTCTGGAGTAGCATATGAAAAAGGCAGAAGATGAGTGACACTTGCAGACATAACATTTTCAAGTATTCTGGTTCATTCAAGTATTTCAAGGTTCATTCACTGTCATAAGTGACAGTGGAGATGGCTCTGATATCAGGTGACCACTCAGTGTCCCACCCAATTGCTGGTACTCCCTACTGTATTTGATTTAAGACCATCTCTGGGTATGCTCTTAGTGAAAGACAGAATCTCCTTTAAGGCCTGACGGATGGTCTGTTTGGGTTCTCTCTTCCTCAGTGAAATTTGGAAATGTAAAGCTTTAATAACTTAAAACACTATCAGCATCTCATATTAGTGCAAGAAATTTAACCAATTCAGGTCATTAATTTAGGGTATGTGTTTTAATTTGGCATTTTCATGTCATTTAAATCAGAAATGACCTTATACTTTGATTTTAAATTCTTGCAGCACCTGAATCTTGTGGTGCTTGGTATACCTGTTCTTTTTAAAAGTGCATTAATTATGTACGTCTTATTTGAGTTTCCCATTCCTGCAAGAGGAAGAGAATTACAGTTAAGTTCATTTTTGTGATTCAGCTTTTGCTGCTCTCTTGTCATTCACCATTTCCTACACAGGCTGCTGAGAAAACGGACACTGTCTTTAGCTGAAGGAGAATTTTTTTTTTCCTGAACTGAATGTTTTACTCTATTATTAAATTGCCATATTTTACTCTATTTAAAAGCTTTCTCATTAAAGAAGTGTATTTTCTGGGGTGAGAGAAAAATGATAGATTTAAAAACTGTGTATTTAGTAAAATATTTGCTACCTTGAATATAGAATAATTGTCAGAAACACCAGCCACTAACTTTCAGTTCCTTTCTTCACTACGAAAAATGGTAAACTAATTTCAATTCCTATTTGTGTCTCTTAGCATTCTCCATCGGAGCCCTTTCTAGAGAAACCAGTGCCGGATATGACTCAGGTTAGTGGACCGAATGCTCAGCTAGTGAAGAGTGAGGATTACCTGCCGTCAATAGAGCAGCAGCCACAGCAAAAGAAGAAGAAAAAGAAAAACAACCACATTGTTGCAGAGGATCCCAGTAAGAGTTTTGGTAAAGACGACTTCCCTGGTGGGGTTGATAACCAAGAACTAAGTAGGAACTCACTAGATGGGTCCCAGGAAGAAAAGAAGAAAAGGAAAAGGCCGAAGGTAAAAAAAGATCCCAAGGAACTTAAAGAACCCAAGGAGAAAAAAGATCCCAAGGAGCCCAAGATCCCAAAAGTCCCTAAGATTCCCAAAGAGCCAAAGGAAAAGAAAGCAAAAACTGCCACGCCAAAACCCAAATCCAGCAAAAAGTCAAGGTAGGCTCTGGGCAGAGACAGCTGCCACCAAATGCAGTGCACAAATGAACCACACACAGTTACAGCCCAGGGAGTGGGGTGGGGAAAGGAGGGAGCATTCCGATTTTTGACATCATTGCTGTGTTTCTTTCTCTAATACCCAAACTAAAATGTTAAGTGTTTCATGCATTGTGAAATTTAGGACTCAATTATTATGAACTATTGATTTGGTTGGTAAAATTTAGACTTTACTGGATAAAAATTACTTATTTTAAAACACTTCTTTGTATGTTTATGAAAATTTGTCATTTAATAAATAGAACCAAGTTACCAGCATAATTATTTGTAAGCACAGACCAGCAACTCATGTCAGTGAAAGTGCAAAACTGGGAAAGAAGGATTATAGAAGCAAGACAGGTCACTATATTTCACTACGCTTTTCAGCCCTATTTCCCAGAATTGGAAACAGGAGAATTAATTCTCTCTAGTTATAGGAGTAAGCTTTCCAGGGGCAGGGTTGAAATCCTAGTGGGCAACATGGGAGAAATCAAATAGCAATTCTCCATTAGCTATGCATTTAAGAATAGCATGAATTTTAGGTTCTAGGAAATAGCCTCCTGCACTCCACACTTCCCCTCCATACTTCCCCCACCAGCTCTCTGACCCCCCAGAAGGCGTATTTACTCAGTAAGAAAACCTGAGAGGAGAAGACATTGAAGACTAATTTTTTTCATTTGTACTGAACATTTCTTACAACTGTTCTGAACCAGTTCCAAACATCTGAATCTATTTTTCAGAATATGGCTCATGTTAGAAAATATAGTTTCCAGATGCAAGTATGGACAGACTTGCTTAATCTGAACCTGTTTGCAAACTCTATTAGAAAACACACTCCACCTCTTACCCCCATACACATATGCAGACACACGCTGGCGTGCACGCACGCTCAGTTCTGCATTTGATGTGCCTGGCGGGAATGTCTTGCGCCTGCTGGCCGGTAAACCTCTTGCTTGCAGGCTTCCTGTGAGTGCATGTGCAGGGACACAGAAAGGAGGTGTTGTTGTGAACAGAAAGATGCTGTGCTGCAAAGTGAAGGAACAAACTTGGATTTTCAGCTTAATGCTAAAAATATCAGAACAGTCTCAGATACCTTACTCTTTAGTGTTTTGAAAGTTTGAATCATAGTCACTTAAAAAATTTTGCTGTCAGTACTTTCTATCGTGCCAAAATGACTGAATTATGTTCCGTAACTCGGTTTTGCAGGTAACTTATTATTTGCATTTACTTATAAACATTCTTTGATGCCTCATTATATGGCCTCTTAATTGGAAACCATTATTTTCTTCTCCTTATGAAATTATTATAAACCCACAATCCATTATCAATTCTGTTTTCATTTAAGAAATATTCCCTTAAGTACTTATTATTTGTAGGTACTGTACTGAGTGTTAGGGATGTGAGCAAAGAGATGATGGTTAAAATTTTAGTCACACGTACAAGGGCTTTTAAAATACATAATTGCCTAAATCTAACTATTGTGTGTTTGGTAGAAGGAAGTGTGTGCTTATTTTTTATTTTTCCCAAAGAGAAAGAAATCAAAGCAAAATCTTAAAAAAATGTAGTTTTTTTTAAAATTTAAAAATCCAAGAGTCTGTGTTCTAAAGAACTCAGAAAATACATCACCAAGATCAGTTTTAGCCTCAAGATATATTTGTCTCCAGTTTGTATCTTAATTTTTTGAATCTATCATGTTAAAAACTGATTTTTAAAAATCCCCTTGGATTTTGTCATAAATTTCCAGGTTTATTCTTTGAAGCTCTGAGTCTACATTGAACCAGCTCTACCTTTAAAAATGTTAATATACCCTTACCTCCTGTAGAATATACTGGGGCAGATATTAAAGTGCTGTATTTAATAGTGAAACTTGTTAAAATTTCCCTAACAACTGTAAAGAACTGTTAGCAACTTGGGACATATATTCTAGTCAGTTCTGGGCACCCTGTGCCTCCTTGGTACAGAGAGAGGCCTGTCTTTATCCACTGGAGAAGCCTTTGGCTTGGGCCTTACATGGACACTCACATCTGCCCATCCTGAAGTTTGAACCGTCTGTGCAGAGTTAAGTTTTTGGCATTGCTGAATCTGAGTAATGGCTGTGCACTACAGTCGTCCACTTTTGGTAAGAGGGAAGGCATGTGATTGTCCTCTGCCAAGAGGAACGTCTATTGCTTTCTTCCCCTTTGTTGCCTTTGACCAACGGTCTCAGTCAATGCCTCCTGTAGGGGACAGTTGTTTTCCTCAAGTGATGTGAAAATAACTGAAAAACACTTCTGTTGAGTATGAAAATGTGCAAGTGGAAAGGGAGCATGTCACCTGGCCCAGAGACACAGGGGCCACATGGAAGGGGTACCCTCTGTGGGCTCTGGTGACTTGACCACTTGTAGGGCCACTTGCTGATTTACGGTGAAGTGTGATGAGGACATTGCTGAGAGGCTTTCATTTCACTGATGGTCATATGGGAATGGCTATCCACGAATATGGCAATTGAACATAAATTTTTACTACTAAATTAACAAACTAACCCATTATTTTGTTGAGCCACATGTTTCTACTGGCCAAATGAATTGTGTCGAGTGTGGTCTCGTTGTTCTGCTAGTCTAGAAAGGAAATAACATCTCCGAAGCAAAGATAAGTAGAATGCATCTGACTACATGTAAATTCTGAATAGCATAGCAGAATAATTATGTAAATTGAATATGCAGTGATGAAGGTAATAGGGGGTTTGGGTTCTGTTGGTGCTGGGGTTGAATTGCCATAGCAGTTTGCATTAAAGCGCTAGAATACAGCAGTGGCAATTTTGTTTTGCAAAATGTTATGTGATACCAGTTATTTCCATCCTTGAATAAGTTAACTTGATGAATTTGTTTATACAGAAAATAATTTTCCAACAGAGGGCTGAAATAGAGGGAATAAACAGAAGTGAAATGAAAAATTCAGTGTAGAACCACCCACATCTTTCCTGTTCAGCCCTGGATTCTATAGTGTTGGTGAGGTTGTACAAACAAGTGGGCTGTCCTCTGAGTGGGTGGTTACTCCCTGGGGTCTGGTTTGCTCTGCATTGTGTCTTTGGCAGGGAGAGAGCTCCTTCTGCATCATTCACATACTCTTGGTTATCAAGGATATAAGAGAGGGTGTCATCAATAAGAGTGATTTCCTTGTGTGCTTTTATGATGCCCTTCTTGTGACCTGTTATTCCATCTTATTCCATAAAGTGGTTGAGGCTTGAAATTGTGGCCATTCCCAAGAAACTGGCCCTTTTGACATCCAAAAATAGCTACTTGTCTGTGCAGGAGAACCTAGAAGAATCTGCGCAGAAGCTGTTGCATAGAATGGTAGTGCAACAGAAAAAGGTGTCCGGCATTTCTGAAAATGATGTTTAAAATCATAATGATGAAGACAATGGGCCACATTCCTCTTTTCTATTAGAAACATTTTTTTTCTTCCTTTCATTTTATGTTAAATACATGCTTTTTCCTACTCTTTTTTTCTAGTGCTCTCCCTAGGTGTCCTTACAGCTTTCAAATATTGGCAGTTAATATTGGAAATAAAAGCTGAGACATTTGTGGGCTGCAGAGGATGCCATTTTGCATATGGAAGGATTCATGGAGCTGAAAAATGAGGCTCTGCATTCTTCTTTTCAATGTGTTTTCTGTTTAAGGGTGCATGGGCCTTGTGAAATGAGAGAGAGTTGGGAGGAAGTGCTTCCTTTGAATGACTCTTGAAGGATTTAGAGGTCCATTTAGCTATATAAGGATGCTTTGATTGTTTGTAAGGAGGGAACTTGGCCAAAGATTGTGACTTGACTCATGAAGCCTCAGTTAACTGCAGCCATGGAGACTTGCCTCTTATTCAGTTTCTAGGAACACAACTTGTTTCTTGCTCTACTTTCCACCCTCAATACTAAAGCTCGTAGAAAACTAAAATTCTATTTCTTGATGTAAGAGTGAAGATATTTTAAACTGGAAAATAAATATACTGCTCTGACTTAAAAAAATACATTAAGTACCAAAAACATATACTTTTTGCAAACCACACTATTATCATCATTGATATTTCTGTGGTGTCTTTCTTCTGAGGAACTTAGCTTTTCAGATATTGTATACACAATTATGACCTTAGGGAGAGGCTGCATTTTACCTGAGAAATATTTTTATTCTGCCAGCAAGCCCAATGGTGTTATATTTCAGGAAACTTACACGTATTTTATAGTGTGCTCTTACACATGTAAACTTTCTCTGCAAAAACAAACCATGAAACTAGTTTTGCTAATAAGTACACAAAACCCAGGTAGTCAGATACTTCCTCATCAGGAACATAGGTAATAAGCTCACAGCTTGCTTCTATTTCATTGTTCTTTCTTTTATTCACATGTTGTGATATATTTTTGACCCAAGACATTGAATAATTGGGAGACTGAATTAAGTATCTTGGATATGGTGCCTATGGAAGAGGAGTTCCGAGCCCTTCCAGTGCTGGAGAGGAACAAGGAGGCGAGAGCCTGCAGGTCTCCGCCCCTTGGTCTGGCCTGCCCTGCAGGGTCTCTGATTCATTAAATTTAAGCTCCAGGTCAGGGATGGGAACAGGAGCCCCTTTTCTGTTAGTCTCAAAGAGTTACCTTTTCCTTGACAAAGGGGTCATCAGGTGTTTTAAACCTCAAATCCTCTTTTCCTTTCAGGATAACTGCCTCAGAGTCTTTCTGTTGCCAGTGACAGATCACAGTGACCCTTCCTCTGATTTATCTTAAATCAACTGAATGCTCAGGGAGGGAGAGTTATCAGCCACTGTTTAGAACAGAGCCTGATATCTTGACAACATGTGGCTCATGTCTTTGGGGGCAGAGAATGCATACCAACACTGACCCTTAAAAGCAAGTTCTGCGACCCCTGGCTGTGTGCTGGATGCAGGACCGCACTGAGCCTGCCGGAAAGCTGTTCTGCCCCGTCCAGTGACCTGCAGTGCGCTTC